TGGATCGCGTATATGCTGGGCCGGGGCAATTTGTGATCCGGATTTCTAATTGAACGTCGCATCTCGGAAAGGGAGCCGCAGAATGAAGGTGGTGGTTTGTGGTTTGGTGTGAGTAATCACGTCCCGATCAGGAAGCACCGGAAGCCTTGCCTAGCCTTGGTAATTGCGGGGGATTGTCAGAGCAGCATCGTGAGATCCAGAACCTCCCATAAAACGTTTGCTCAACTTGGCGACCATTACCACTGCAAATTCAAGCTTGAGCGACCAGATCATCTCCCTCCCGCCCCTGCGCTCCAGAACGCCTTGCAACTCCCGTGAGTTCTAACCGAGCAGTTGACACCTTTATCGTATCCGAGCTCCGCGCCGCATATCAGCTCAATTGCGCAGAGAGACCGACAGTTTGCTGGATATTACTGGGGATAGCGAAACTGCGCCGAACGACTGCCCTCGGGAGGGATTCTCTTATGCGATAGTCTCGTTACTCACGTCTATCAAGGCAGACTCTGGCTGGAGCCTTCCCGGTCAAGGACTACCTCTGTCTCCTACAAGGCGTAAGAGCGGTTGACAGAGAAGCCGTGCACCGGCTTTGCAGGGCATCAGGAAGTGAAAAATGAAGAAAGTCATCCGCTATCTCCAAGACCAAGGTATGTCAGCATCGACATGTTCTTGACTCGCTTCTGTTCCTTGTTCTCCCTGATCCGTTCTGTTCTGGATTCCGTCGCTGAATCCGAGTCAATCAGCATTGGAAGCTTCACAGCAAAAGTACTCGGGCGCAGCGTATCTTTCTCCGAAGACCAAAGAACCTCAACAGCGGGTCAAACACCACAGTCCAACGTATTATAAGGAGCAGCACACTTCTTACCATCAATCGCGGTCTGCCCATCCCAGCCTGGCGGCGCACAGTTTCCCCATCCACACGGCAGCTGGGACTGAGCCTCCAAGATCCAGCGGACAAGAGGAGCGCCCGCCGCCGCCGCACATCTCGGAGAAGATCCACCGTGACATTACACGGCATCAATATGCCCTAGACAACATCCTTCAGTCCTACGAGTTGTATGTTCCCGAACTCGACCGCTCGCACCTTGCCGATCCCAGTGGGAAGAAGTACTGGATTGTTTTTGTCCATGGTGGATACTTTCGTGATCCAACAGTCACGTCTTCATCTTTCTACCCAGCTCTCGACCATTTAGTGTCTAGGAAGACGGACAACCACCATAACCCTTTCAAACATGACGAGCATGTGCCCTCTGTTACGCCCTACGTTGCGGGATATGTGTCGTTGAACTACCGTCTCTCACCTCATCCGGACAAGTCGCCTCAAGATCCTTCCAAAACACCGGCGTACGAACTCCGCAACGCCAAATGGCCAGACCATATCCACGACATACTCACCGCCATAGCACACCTACAGACCAAATATGGCTTTGGAGAGCAGTATCTGCTCGTTGGACACAGTGTGGGCGCCACAATGGCCGTGCTCAGCACCATTGCGGCACAACGAACGTTTTCAAACGCGGGTCCATCCAAATTGCCAAAGATCGAACCACCCATGGCCGTGCTCGGTGTTTCAGGGATCTATGATTTTCCGCTACTTCATGAATCATTCGCCGACTATATCGGGTTGACGAGGAACGCCATACCCAATGAGGCTGACGATGTGCTCGCCAGCCCCGCGAGGTATGCTGTGAATGACTATGTCGACATCTGGGCAGCTGCTGGCCAGAAGAAAAGGGCCTTGGTCCTTGGGCATTCAAAGGACGATGGGTGGGTGGATTGGAAGCAGGTCGAGGCAATGGAGAAGGTCTTTGGTGGTGGATCAGCGATCAGTTGCAAGGTTTCTGAACTGAAAGGGCAACATAATGATATCTGGGAGAAAGGGACGGAGTTGGCCAGGGCCATTGCTCAAGCGGTGGACATAATGAGGGCTTTGGACGGTGATGGGGATGGACACTGAGTCGCCGAGGATGCCAAGAATTGAAACGAAAGCAACGTGTAGTTAGGTACCCTTTTCGCGAGGATAACGGAGATTCCAGATTGAACGCGACGGCTCAGACTATATTATGTGGTATAATGAAAGCAGCTTCACGCTGGTAATTATCTCCAAACGAAAGGAGAGCAAGAGCGATTATGGTCACGAGAAGAGGTCACATCAGGCCAAGCTTAGGCCAAGTAGGCGTTGTCTTGGCATGACGTCGGTTGTCTTGGCATGTTTACTTTCGAGGATGCAGCGAGGCAGCCAGATCCGAGCAGACTCAATGCGATTCAATCGTGCTCTCGTCATGATGAACACCTGTTGTCCGTCACCATACTGACCTACAATGCTTCTGAACAACTTTCAGTAGAACCAGTTGTCTCCTACAGGCGACGCGTATCAGGGAAAATTATTTATCAGATTCCAGCATGGCCCCGCGAGCCTCCGCCTCACCCTCGCCTGCACCAGAGGCCCCCGTCGCCTCCTCACCAGGACCTCGCGCCGCAGCTCTGCAAAAGGTCTTTGCTGGCGCTCTGTCGTCGTCTCTCAAGGCAAACTCGTACGCGAACTTCAGTTCGTGTTTCCCAACGCCCGCGAAATACTGTCCGACTGCGCTCGAAGGAGTCTGGAGACAACTGAACACGCGGTTAGAGGAAGAATGCATGCGCGATTTCGAGAAGATCCTGGAAGAAAGACAGGTCATCTCGGGCCTGAATCAATGGGACAGCATGATTGACGAGGCCAGGAGGAGAAAGAACCGCGGCGTGGAAGGCGAAATGCCGGCGAGACCGTGAGCAAGCCTGGTTTTTGCGACTTGGCCCTTCTCTTCATCGCACGACTGACCAGAAGAAACAGATTGCACACTTTATCCGCAACCGAACTGTACACGGCTCACTTCACGCCCTATCTGCAACAAGCAACCGAAGAATTGAATGCGCGATTACAGAAGTCGCAGCAGGAAAATGCGGCAATGAGGGATACAATCCAGGAGCAACGTGGTGAAATTGAGCGGCTGCTAGCCGGCCTCGAATACGCCGTCAAGGATATTGAAGGAAGCGTCGAGGCAATGCGCACGAACGAACAGAGTGGCTGCAATGGGCTGAGAGACGAGCTGTGGCAAATGGAACAAGAGGTCGCTGCAACAAGATAGTATTGCATCTCAATCATGATTGGGAAGGCGGTTGAGATGGTTCCTGGTCCTAGCGTAGGCGCTGGAGGAATGTGGAGTTGGCCTGGTCTGGTCTCGTCTCACGCGAGCCAAAAGTACCAGTACCTACAACATGGGCGTGTCTCAGCAAAATGGGAAGATTTGGTGAAAGTCCCCTTTTGAGGCTCAGGGTTTCACGATGCAACGACTTTGGGGTGGTGATAGGCGGACGGGGAATGCAGGTCATTCTCGGAGGAAAATCACAGGATGGAGCCAGGAGTGCTGAGATCGATCTTGTTTGGATCGAGAAAGGGTCTTGACGGATGAGACACTTTTTCCAACCAAAAACCCGGAAAGTGAGTGGGAGCAGATGACTGGCCAATGTTGCAACGGTTCAGACATGGACAATATCCGGTGTATTTCTTAGGTCTTTTTGGTGCATTCGGCAATCGAGAGAGGCTGTCCAATCACAGTCGGCAGCGGCGCCAAGCTCCGATATCCAACTCCAAGTGAACATTTTCTGTTCCTCTTCAATCCTCATGCCGAAGACAGACCTCGTACAGAATATACCCTCGATTCACCAACTGGCGATGATTCATAAGCAACAGGACCAAATTGAGCCGACAAGCCCAAATTGGTCTGTCCGAGACTCGAGCGACTGGACCTTTATGGCTGCTGGTGGAGCTGAGAGCTCTTGCGCACCAATTTCCAAAAACAACAGGTGAGTGCAGCGCGTAAACCCTACCTGCGCCCTCTATACCAGGGCCCCTTGTTGCCACGTTCCGCTATTGCCAACGGCGAGCTCCGATGGGCAGAGATCTGCGGCTGCCCCAGGATGACATCCAGGCTATCCCGCTGTGTCTGTTTGTTTGTGGGAGAAAACTGAGGCTTGGGAGGGGCGCGCAAATTGGCCTCGCTCCCTTCCCATGGAAATAAAGTTGGATAACGAGATTGCATGACCGCCACCAACAACCACAACAGCCACAACACCATCGCATACAAGCCCACCCCGGTACTCGCGGCCTTCTGGTTTCCTCGCTTCTGCTCGTCAAAAACCAATCCTCTGGTGCCGTTGCTCTCACTTGCCGCAGCTTCCGATCCTTTTCTGCTCCGTGTCTTTCTGCAGCTTCATGCTCCGACCAACCCTTGTTGGCGCGAACCAGACCCGCCCCCCCAGACTTTCCGCGAACATGACGCGCCAAAGCTTTCCTCCCTGGTACAAAGGCTTGAGGCTAGTTGATGTTGTGGGTATACCAGACGCCGGGACGCGTGCACGAAAAAGTATACTCATACAGTGTGTGTTGCTGTTTCGCTGTTTCGCCGCTTCTGTTATGGCTGTTGCAGAGAGATTCTCCGGTTTTTTGTCTTTTCCTCCAGTTTGCCTCCATGCTTTGTTTACATCTGATTACTTCAAATCGCATGCATCCGCATATGATAATTTCGGAAACTCCACCACCTCTTACATCTGCCCCGCCTTGATTGGCCTTTTCGAGAGCGCGTGTGTGTCTCTGAACCCCTCATTGTCAAGCTCGTTCAGTCATACTGCCTGTCTCACTAAGGGCAGGCACGGAGAGGGCTGAACGCGAACAAGGAAGATCTCCTTTGAACCTGGACCCCCGGACTTTTCGGCTGCTTCAGAGGACAACAACCTCAGCTCGTCGTTGTTCACTCTTTATATCTCTCCCAGTCAACTGAGGCGCGAGTTCAACTCGTCTTTCTTGACTGTCCCATCCATCAGCGTTTTTCTCTTCTTTGGCCATCTGGATGTCAACCTCAAACCTCATATCCAGGGAATCGGGGCCAACAGATTTCATTTAAAAGCCCGTTTCGCAGTTGACCGACCAAGGTTACTATCCACGCAGCATCGTGTCACACGGACTGATGGAGAGACGTGTCAGGATATCGGCGGTCGCGGGCCTGGCGGGTATCCTGGGGATCGTGGGCAGTGTGCTCAATATCATTTTCGCAACAAACATCACGAGTGCTCCGATTCTCTCAGGCCTTCGAGATCTACTCTACGTCGCCTTCGTTGTGAGCCTGATCAATCTCGCAAGTCTGGCTTATTTCGGCACGGTGTATGTGAGGAAGCCACACAGTCCCGCGCAGGGTTCTAAGCCCCAATCATGCGCACTCGTTCATGGCGGGATGATTTCGGCAGCAGTCAATGCTATCACCTCTGGAATCACGCTGGTATGGCTGGCTGTAAGACGAAGCGACCTTCCGACAAAGATATTGCGTACCTCTCTCACCACGTTGCTTGGAATATGGTTTGCTGTATGGGCGATTTCCGCTCTTGTGCAATTAGGTTTGTATTTTCTCCTCGCCTCGTGGACCAAGAATGCCTTGAAGACAGCCCGGGCCGGAATTCTCGATATGAACCTCGGCCTCAGAGCACCATCCATGTCCACTTTTAAGAGGCCCAACACTCAACAGACGGATCGATCGTTCGCCTCGCAAGAATTGACTCTGAACTCACCGCCGCGCACCCCTGTCTCTAGAGGAGAGTCTTCGACACGCAGATCGTCGGCCACAAAAGCGGGAACGGCATCATTAAAGACGAAACTGGCGCGACACTCTAGCCGATCTTCGTTTGAATGTTCGCCTTTTCCAGCCGGCGAGGCGATGTCCATAGATAGCGCCTTCGATGGTTGGGACACGTCCTCCGTTCATCAAGAGATGCGCGTCGTCATTCATTCATCGCCGCCAGTCGTTCGGGGAGGCCTGGAGACGATACCGGGCAGTCGACCCGAGTCACCAGCAAATGCGCTCGATGGGCCCTTCCTCCCCGAACCACGGTCCCCTACCTCGAGTTCACCGCCGCATGCCGCAACGTCTGACACTACTACGGCCTTTGGCTGGAGCTCGTCCCCGCGACAGCCAAGATCCTCACCACCATCCAGCCCAGTCAATTTCTCCCGACCTACGTCTCGTCCCACGTCTCGACCTAGTTCGTCACATGTCGGCAAGCCATTACCACTACCACCACCACTCCTTAGGCAGGGCACGTTTGACGTTCCCATGGAGGAAGAGCTAATACACCCACTATTCCGACCAAACAGCCCTCGACCACCTCCGATTGCCATTGCCGGCACGGTGGTCACGGCGTCGCCCATGGCAAACACTACCATCACGCCTCGGACGCTCGCCAGGCTGCGGAGCGACTCGCATCCGGCGCCCGGACATTTGAAAGCCATGCCCAGTAGCACGGACGAGTCCGAGACGGAGAGCGTGGAACAGGTCTTGCCGGATAGCCCGACGTTGGGCAGTCCATCACTTGGGAGCCCTGGTCCGTCGATTGTGGACGATGCGGACTTGCCACCGATTCTCCCTGGATTCGTGCTATCGGCGGGTTCACGGACCAGCTTGGTGGGGTATGGAAAGCGGAAGAGCGTCAAGAAGGATCGACCCAGGTCCCAGGTGTCGACGGGCAGTCGGTTGAGCCAAGTCATGATATGAGACCTGGCTTGGTTGTCGGGTTTACTTCTTTTGTCTTTCTTTTCTGTCGCGGCTACTGGCACCGCGCCTGTTGTTTTGAATGTGATGAAAGCTGCATGACTAGGGCGAAGTTGGCGCACACTGATTGATTGTTTGGAGGATTAATAGCAACGAGGGACCACAGATACCCATTTGCGTTATGAGAGGAAACATGGTTAATGGCATTTATGGATATGGAGGGGTTTTTTGATGCTCTATTGATGCTCTATGTTATTGGATGGATCGGCGGGCTGAAGGGAGGCACCAGGAAGGCTGAAGGCACCTTTTGCAGGCGGAATTCGACGGCACGATCCGGGAGAGAGACGAGCCAGACTATACTTGTATCTTATTCCTCGTACTTGTGGCAGGCAGAGTTTTAAGCGGCGTGGTCTGACATGTCTCATCCCCTTTTCAAGGCGATTACTTGGTAAATGCTCTGTCAGACAGGATCGAGGCCGTTTTGCTCCTTTCGCCCACTGGCAGGCACTGGCTCGCCGGGAATGGTAGGCCCAAGGGGCTAGCCGCAAGCGGGCTAGTGGTTCACTAGGAGTTGTCTAGTCCCTTTGCGGCTAGAGCGATGGCCGCTGCTGGCAAAAGCGAGCAAAATGCTTCTCACTTCGATCCGCCAAACTCTGGTCGCTGGTCGCTGGAGTGTCAGGCTCACAAGTCACAAGAATAATACCACATCCCCTTCAATCTCCTTCCTGCCCTATTCATCGCCCTATTGATTCAATCATTCATTCATTCACTGGCCGCCCGACACTATGGATTTCAATCTCTGCCCGTCTATTCAGCCCTGGGCCCGCGATGCCATTGTCGCCCTGTCGCCTTTTACTTCATCCCTGTCTGTGGCCACTAATACCTCATCTCCCGAATGCTTCCAGCTGCTTCCTTCCACGGCAACCACCGCTTCTCAGTCTCACATCTCAGCGAAGACCCTTCAGTTCTGCCTTCGCTACTTATCTCACCTTCTATCTCATCCCACAGAGCGAGGGCCGTCGTCGCACCAGCTGCTCCGCCCAGGTTCAAGGGCCCGCCGCTCCGCTCATCCCCTTGCGACAGCAGCTGAAAAGCGGCTTTGCGCTTCAATCGTCAAATATTCTCTCCGCTCAGGTGCGCCGAGGCGATTACATCTGCGGAATCGTACCGAGTAAGTCTCAATCCCTCAGATTCTTCTCTGGGCCCTATGTGCGTTATCGTCGTCTGGCCGAGGTCGTCCGAAGCGGCATTTTGCCCACCGGACTATATCTGCCTCCTCCAATTCCTGCACTGCCTCACAATTGCGACTCAAATAGATATATTTTTTCTTCTCTAAATATGCATGATAATCAACTGACTTCATCTGCAGCAAAATGGCTGCCAAAGCGACCGGTCGTCGGCCGTCAGTCAGCTTCCATATGGAGACTAGAAGTCGCACCGCAAAAATCACCCCAGAACCAACCGACGCCTCTACAGTAGGTTCATGGCTGTCATCGGCATCATCATCCCCCCTGTCAACACCCCCGTCCACTCCGCCAAAGAGTCCAAAATCTCGGAAACGAAAGATGGCCGATTCAGGCTCGGATGAAGCCGAACATGTGCCAAAGACGAAGCGCCGTGCACGGCAAACCTCAACAGCTGCGACCCTGGCTGTTAGCGCCACTGCACGCCAGCGAATGACCCGGAGGACCATTCCAGATAGTGATGGAACTGTTACCATCACTAATAGAGGCCCTCCGTCAACCTCACCGTCAGCTAGTCCGCCAGAATCGGCCACGGCGCTAAGACGAAGCTCCCGTATTCCCCGGTCTGACACAGTCGAGGTCGGCCATGATCTCAGCCACGCTGGAAACCAAACTTCTTCACCATCTAATCAAACAGAGCAGCCTAATGCTTCGTCAGGGGAATCTCAGAAAGCATCGTCAAACGCCCCCGAGGCGGTGCCAAAGTGTAATCGCACCTCACGACCTGCCGAGGAGAAAATTGCGGCCAAGGCGCACATCAGCTTCCAGGAGTACAAAGATAAGGAGTCCTGGCCAGAATATGATGCGAAGAATCCAATATACCACGCAAATGATGGCACCACTCGCTACCGTCCAGCAGAGAACGGCGACACTCCCGAGTCCCGCTCTCCTAGGAAGCCGGGCAGAGGGGGCGGCCGTGGTGGCCGTGGAGGTGCTCATGCAACTGGCGGTGGACGTGGTAAAGGCAAGTCAAGAGGTAGAGCTGGTCGCGGAAATGGCGAAAGTCCTGAACCTCCAAATCGAAGACGACCACTGACACAGGACGAAAAACTCGAGATCTCCATACTCAAGGCGAGGCAGCTGGAGTTAAAACGATTTTTCAGCACCGTGGGCGCTCAGCAGATTGACATCCTTGAACAACTCTCAAGCCGAGACATTTCCAAAATTGCCAGGAAGCCAAAGGCCCACAGACACGTCCCAGAGTACGACGGTGTCGTGGAGGAACTTGAGTCCACCATGAGAGATGTGCAAGACCTCGCCCAAACACGATACCGCATCCAGCTCGAGCATGAAATGCAGCGACTGCAGCGAGAGAAAGAAGTTATTGAAGCGCAGTTCGAGGTAATGCCCCGTATTGACTCTGTCTCCAGGCTTAAATCTGACACACGAAACAGAACCGCGTCACCGAAGCCCGCAGAGAGCATCTTGCCGGCGCAGAAGGAGACATCATACTCTTCGAGCGAGCTTACCGCGCCGCTCACGACGACACCCACACCGAATCCGGCTCCGATATGGATTACTTCCCACATTATCACGAACTTCCCGAGCCGAATACTCAACCACGCGGGTACTCGTCCAGAAAAATCATGGACGAAAAGCCATTTAGGCAACAGCTGGAATCTTACGACGAACAAGCCCGCCAACAAGTGCTCAATGAGGATGTTATTGGCCCCTTATTGAAGCAAATGGAACAGCGAAACGATGATTGGCGAACTGAGCAACTTCGAAAGAAATCGCAGACCATGGATGCTCTTTCTGTGGAAGCGATCAAGGAACTCGAGAATATCAAGGGTTACCTTATCCCAAGGCCTCTCGACATGGCGGACACTAGTTCGTACGCCCTGTCGGCGCTCGCGGACGTTTCTGACTGGGTTGCACAACAACACTCCGAACGTCAGTACATCTACATGCCTCTTGCCCCCGGCGATGTCTTCGCAAGACAAGCTTTGGATTTCTCTCCACTTCCTGGCCAAGCACCACCGCCCGTAACGCCAGCACCACCGCAACCATCATATCAAGTGATCCGACCAGACTCAAGGAGCCGTGGCCGACGAGCGAAATACCCTCCCCTGAGCAACGCACGGGCAGGCGTCCGCGTTGCCACTCCTCCACCTCCAAGCCCTTTACCGGCACCGCCAGTTGGACCTGCTTCTTTTCTCCCACCGCGCTTGATTTCAAGCGGCCCCGGCCAACCGATCGCTCCTGCACCGCCAAAACCCGTCTCATCGCATCGCTCATCAAACAACATCAACGTCTTCCGGCACAATGCCCGACCCAGTCTTCATCATCACGGCTACCCTCGCCACAACTCCGTCGGCTCTCCGCTACAAAATGGTCCACAACAATTCATCTTCCAACCTCCTCAACAGCCATACCAACATCAAGCCGCCCCTGGACCAGCACCGACACAACAATACGGTCCACCGCCGGCTAGTCCGGTAAGTTCTGGAATAGTCGCTCACAGCGCTGTTACTACCGCTAGTGCAGGCGCAGGCATGAACCCAGGCGCAATTATCGGTGGGGGGACTGGCGGTGGTGGTCCTCCTATGCAGGTTGTAGGCCAACAGACCAAAATCCCCATGACATTTGTGAATCAGACGATTGCGAGTCGGAATGCCGCTGCAGCTGCGGCAAGCGCAGGTGGGAGTGGTAGCACGCCGGGCGGGAATGGGCAGGGTAACGGAAAGAGAGTCTTGCTGCCGAAGGTCTAAAAGTTCAAAAGTTTTGAGAGTTACTTATTGTGTCCCATACCTGCCTGTGGAGAGCAGGGTCCATGTAGGTGACATACATCCCCTTTGTATAGAAAGAGGGAGGGCCAAGGGAAAGTTCTTGTTGGATGCTGAATTTATAGAAGAGGAACTACCTAGCTCATACGCTCAAGTCGAGCGGAGGGAAGAGAACTGTGAGCCTTTCTTTCTTTACATACATGGTCCAGGAAGAGGTCTACAGAAAGAGAGTCCAGCTGGCATTGGCAACGACACGACACTGCACTGCACTGCCATGCCAATTGTGACCAGCGACTTTTTGCTCTCTTTCCTTTCCTCGCGACCGACAATTATAGAACAGAAACAAGGGCCGGGAACAGGAAGAGGGGCATGAATGAGTCCCAAGCAAGAACAAAACGAAACACCATGAGAAGAATGAGAATGGAAATGGAAAAATGAAAAAAAAAAAAAAAAAAAAAAAAAACATTCCAAAGTCCACGGCTATAGTCCAGAGGCAAATTCTCAAGTTCAGATCGATCCGGCCCCAAAAAGACGTTTCTTATCCCTTCTTGATCTTCTTCTCCTTCTCCTTATGAGTCTTCTTCTTATCAATCTACCAACACACCGTCAATTCAATCAATCCATACATCGAACACATCGCTCGATCAATCAGACCTGCTCGACGTGCCTGGCCTTCTCCCCTCTGACAGCCTTGCCCATGAGCATGGTACTCCTCCGCCTCTCGACGGCGCCCTGCCTGCCGAGATTGAGTTCCTTTGCGAACCTGCTGCGGTCGCGGAACCACTCGCCCTTCCAGTAGAAGACGTAGATGGGGGCGATGACCGCGATGGACAGACACGCCAGGATCGTTGAGGGATATTCCAGGGTGTATTTCTTGGAGATGTTTTCGTAGACTTTTTTTTTGGATTGAAAACGGGAGCGGGTTAGTTTAGATACGTTGGGTAAAGAAGAAAAGTGTGAGGAGGTGAGGATGTGAGTCGGGTTGATAATCAGGGATAGGGGTCAAGTGTAAAGGGGATGGAAGGATGGCGTCTGGGACATTTTTGGACGGTTTGTCGGAGGGACAAGTTGACTTACATGGCGTGCTATACAAGGCAGCAATGCCCGCAAGGAAGTCTCTTGCGAGATCGTTCCCGCCAGTTGCGGAAGCGGCGTACGGGCCGTAGGCGGCGATCATGTAGTCGATTGAACTCTGAAAGCGCACCTCATTAGCATTCACGGTCACATTAACACATTCCTGCAATTGGGGCAGAGACCGGGGGTCCATATCCCAGAGAATTGGAGCCATACCTTGTAGATTGCATAATTTGCCATCGCAATTAGGACGGTGAAGATCATAGGCGCGATCCAGGGGATGCCATAGTCAGGGCCGAGAGATGTCCACGCGAAGCCGAAGAGCCCAGCTGTTTCGAGAGGTGCCACTGCAAGAGAATCAAGGATATCGTGTCAGTGAAAGAACCGGTGGACACTGGAATGGAGAGAGAGGAAGAAAGAAGGTCGAGGGACGCGGTGATAGACTTACGGAAAAGCAACCACCACAGACGAGATTCTGGAGACAACTTGTTCGGGTCATCGGCGCGGATCTTGTTATGGTGTCGAATGACAGGGAGATAAGTGAAATATGCAAGCACGTATCCGACGAGTGACCTGCAATCATTTTGTCGTCAGTCACTTCCTCTCTTCGTCGAAATCTTCAGGCTTCCTTTGCCTCTGCCGTCCATATTTCGGGCCAACTTGCGTGAAAAAGAAAGAAGACAGCTTACGAAATAAAAGCCAATCCGACCTGATATGGCTTAAACCCCCATTGCTTAAACACGGGCGTGAACGCCTCCAAAAAGGTAAACAACAATGCATCACTGAACCCACTGAGCAAGCTGAGGCAGAGCACAATCGGTTCCGTTACAAACATCTGGAAAGGTCTCATCCAGACGCGTACAAATTCCTTCATGGGGAACCGCGGCTTCTTGAGTTCGTCCGGTCCGAAGATGTTGGTTTCACCATTCTTGCGTCGTTTCTTAGCCTCGCGATCCAAAAGGATGGTTGCGCGGGTCTCGGGTACGAGGAAAAAGTGGATGAGTTGAACGGCGCCGCCGATGCAGAGTTGCATCCAAAAGATCCAGGGCAAAGGAAGAAATTCTCCCACAAAGCCACCGATCACTGCGCCCACCGGGGCTCCGCCGACGGACGACAGCACGACGAAAGCAACAGCATATTGAAACCCAGAGTCCTCGGGTTGGTATAGATCCGCGATAACTCCCAACGTGACTGAGCCTCCTGCCGTAGAGAGGCCAGCTAGCGCTCTGGCGACGACGATAGATCCGAAGTTCGGGGCCAGCGCCGCAGGTAGTTGCCAGAGATTGACGAGAAATAAAGATAGCTGCTGTGTCGGCCAGCGGCCTAGTTCCTCAGACCATGGCGCCCACAGTTCGCAGCCGAATGCATAGCACACGAGGAAGATCATCTGGCCGACCCGTGCCTTCTGCTTCGAAATTGTGTATTTCTTGGCGAGGCCGTCGACTCCATTGGCATAGATACTGGCGTTCAGGTTCATCGAGGTCTGAATCAAAAGAATGATGAACAATATCATCCATTTCTTCCATGCTGGGAAGCAGTACCCCAGTTGATCGTAACAATCTTCCTCGGTTAGTTCGACCTTGCCATCCGCACGCTTGGGATGACCTCCCTCGAGATTCTCTCCTGCTAATTCTGGGCCTGAGACACCCAGCTGCTTTTCGGTTGGTCCCGGGGGTTGGATTTGATGACTCTCTTTTTCGTTCTGTGCCTCCATGGCTGTGGTGGATTGATCGGAGACCGACATTCTCGCTGAATTATAGCCTTACACGAGTAGGACGACTCGCGAAGGGCTAGGTTTATGGGCTCACGGAGAAGACCCTCAGTTGAAAGGATGTACAGAGTCCTTTGAGCAACTGCGAAATGGGAACGGCACAATTAAGAAATGCGAAAGAGCTTAAACAAACCTGAATCTCGCAAAACACACGGCACACCGTATAGTTAAGGTTATCACCCACCTTTTGCATCTTGCGGGTATGGCATTCAGGGATCGACATTCATAAAACAAGTCGACAATGTTTAGCTATGATTTCATCTTGCGTCAATCCTGGGCACGCGGGCACCACTCAGGAAAGAAAGCATGGAGGCGCCACAACCTGGGGGCGGGTCGATGCTAGGGACGTTCTGGCAAGCTGTCTGTGCGTCACTTGCACGGGGCACCAAGGGTGCGACGTTTCTGGGCCATCATCACTGGCAATGAGCTGACTCAACAGGCTGGCCGGCTCCATATCAAGGATAGAATACGAGATTTGCGGACGGTGGAAGAAACGATGTGCTGGACGGATGGTTCAACTCTCCGCATCCTCTGGAGGGGGAAGGAGTCGATGGGACGCCTAGCGAAAGGGTTGCATGCCCCTGAGTCTTGAATCCGGATGATGTTGGTGGCTGCCATGAACTTCTTGGCCCAAGGCGATCGTTTGAAGGGCATGACAGGGAGAGACACGGTCGCAAGACCTGCTCTTTAAGATTTGGTGGTGCAGTCAATAAGAGCCGTTGGTGTGTGAGCTGAGATTGAGATTGCCCCTTTGGCTTGTTTGCTGGCCACATCATGGGACAAGGGAATTGGCGGTGCTTGAAGTGAGCGGAAGGTGTTCTGAGGTTAGTTGAGTGAGTCCAGGCGGGTGTAGCTCGCCGGGCGCATATTCGGACCCGGAAAAACTCTACACGACGCTTGGCAGCCACTTGGATGCCCTGTTTGAGGCGCAGCCCGTACAACAACAATTCTCTATCCCTTCCTTGGGTGTTCTTTCCTTAGCCATGTCCCTCGCATGTCCAGACCGCTTATGCGAATCCCGTATACGGGGCCTCTGCCACCACCTTTGATTATCCCACCGTCGGCAGCTACTAAACAAGGTGCCATCGCCGCCCTCGCGCATTTTCTGACCTCTCCAGCGCTGCCCGCTACATCTATTACTCGTATATCAGGCCAAGACGCGCAACATGAGAGAAACAAGACAGTCCTTCTTACAGGCGCAGGCATAAGTGTCGCCTCAGGCCTGGCCGACTATCGTGGTGTCAACGGGACCTACACCCAGAACAAGAACTACCGGCCGATTTATTACCACGAATTCATCTCGAGCCACGAATCCCGAAAGCGATACTGGGCCCGTTCGTTCTTAGGCTGGAGGGGCCTACACCGCTCGAGTCCTAATGCCGCACACTATGCCATTCGCGATCTTGGAAGACTAGGGTTGGTCGACGATGTGGTTACTCAAAATGTTGATTCATTCCATGGTCTTGCGCATCCGCAATTGAAGACGGTAGAGCTACACGGATTCCTCAGAGCCTTGGTCTGTCTGAGCTGTAAGAGACTCATTGACCGCGATGTCTTCCAGCAAAGATTGGCAGAGTTGAACCCCGCCTGGGCCGAGTTTTTGCAAGAGCTGCTGGCTTCGGGGGCATTGGATACTGAGAATCCCGTTGAAAGGAGGCGGTTGGGATTCAGGACAAATCCCGACGGTGACGCCGATGTCCCTGGCGCGCCGTATCATACCTTCAGATATCCTCCTTGCCCACATTGTTTGAAGCGACCGCCCATTCTAAAAGATGGGAGTAAAGGGCACGTGGATGTTGACGCAGATGGCGCTTGGATACCATCACCCACGGCCTCCGCGTCGCCAAACGGCGTCGGCGTGCTCAAACCCAACGTGATCATGTTTGGTGAATCCATCTCAGCCGACGTGAAAACAGCGGCAGAGGAAGCTATTGACTCTGCGGCCAAAATCCTGGTCGTCGGCAGCTCTCTCGCGACCTACTCTGCTTGGAGGCTGGTGAAAAGAGCGCACGAAAGAGGCATGGGCATCGGGATATTGAATATGGGCGGTGTCAGGAAGGAGGAAGTATTCTTCGGAGAACTCCTTCCGCACCATCATTTTCAAGGAAAGGAAAACGAACATGCTGGGTGGAAGGCCTTGAGACGGGACCTTGTGCGCGCCAGTTTGCCTGCCGAAGAGGTCTTGCCTGGATTGGTCGATGCGATTCGCGCCGACTTGCCTGAGCAAAAACCGCCGCCTTCTGACACACTGCGCTTCCAGACTCATCCCTAAATCAATTGTGGAGTAGTGTGCCTGAAGCGCCTCCCCTTCATGTGGTTGGTATCCAGATATGGATTTCCAAAGGGGTTGGTTCATGGTTATATCTTGCCTCTGCTACACATCAGGAGGCTACTGTCAAGAGCTGTGTAGGATATTCAACATCTTTGGCAGCGGAGAAATACCCATGAATACTGCTTGGAATTTGATCCCTAAAACAGGCCTATCCAGGTAATGACGGTGCTGCCCACTAATACCAGGCTGAACAAAAATATAGCGGAGAACATGGAGAGGCCACCCAAACAGACCTGCCCTCGAAGGAGTGCATTTTGCTGGCGAAAGAATCGATATGCACCAACGACCACAGAGAGGATGCTGATAACAAAGCTGGCGCACGCCACTGCTTTCCCTAACTGCGCAGCAACCTTGGATTCAATGAATCGCCCATGCAGAATGCCAAACTGCAACACGACCAGGCCGAAGCCCGCCATTCCAAATGCGAACTCGAACCAGCTGATGAATGTCTCCTCATTCGTGATATGTTCTCGTGCATTATACCCAAACTCCATTTCCACCGCAACGTATTCGTCCCAGAACTTTCTGAGAGACCAGCTCTCCTCCGGGTGGGACGCTTTCATGACTGTAATCCCGGTCTGTTCGATGCCATCCCAAAACTGCCGGGCGATCTCGACGTCGTCGGACGTTGCGTCAACGGTGGGGCAAGAGGAAAGTTCTGAAGACACAGGGCAGGATTGATAAATGCTAGTGGTGCATCCCTTGATATGAATTTCATGGACGGCAGAGGAGGAGCGAAACCGGCGTCTAACAGCCATGGCTATGCTCTTTCGAAGAAATGACTTGCAAAATTCCGTGGTAGCATTGAACGAAGGAGAAGCTATGGTTCCAATGCGATAATGGACAAAGTATGTTGAGTAGCACTGAACATCTCCTCCATAGATCGCAAACCAAGTGCTCAGGAAGTGTTGGAATCAAGTGTGCAGCGATTGAGAAAAAGTGGAAGGACATAATAACATACCTTTCTGCATTGTAACGCATTGTGATCCGTAAGCCTTCCTTCCGTGGCGGCACAACCACCAAATCAACAGGTTCATGCTCAATCGAGGCAACTACCAGTCGAGATGGGGGTAGAAATGGCAGCATATGGCAGCATTTGGCAAAATACCTGGCGAGGGATGGATAACCCTAGCACTGGTTCACGTCAAAAGAGACAGCTTTGAACATTCGAAATCACCGAAATTGTCCACAAGACACTCATGTTCATGGGCTCAGAACCCAAGGGCTATATCAAACTCTCACGGATGGAGTACAGGACAACATTGGAGCCAGCTCATTCTCTCTGCGGGCGGATGTCCACCGCTCGATCAGCGTGTCTGTTACTCGTACACAATTCGGTTGACAAATGGAACCGGAGCAGGAGTGACCTCAGACTCAGTGGTTTGCTGCCCAGGTGCTCTGTGTAAGGTAATATTAGAGCAACAGCGAACTTTGCCGTCACATTCTTTGATGCAACGAGCCTCTGCAGTCGGGAAAGAGCAGGATTTAAAAAGTGTGGTCACGGATCAAGTGCAACTATTGTGTCATGGAAACCTGGGTCAGCTCGCAGTCGAGATCAATAAGAAGGCAATACAGGTACAATGATCTGACCATCTCCCGGAGCATCAATTTTTGAGATGGATGAAAAGGAAGACCAGGCAATGATGGCGGTCAGTATGAAGGCGGCAGAGAACGCGCGGTCACATGACAAGGCATTCCCGCCGCTTGTGCCGCCGCAGCCGCAGCTGGAGTTGCAGTTGCAGTTTCAGGCTTCTCCATCCGATCCGAGTCGTGGATCATCTCCCTCTCGCCATTGCTATCGTCATACCTGCTATTCTGGGTGCCATTCTCATGGCCCGGACGCTGACGCTCGCCACGAGGAGAAAACCGCACCTGCGCCATCGCCTTTGCCCTCGCCTAAGGCTCTTATAACTTGCTCATCCCCTCCTCCCTCCTTACCTTCAACATCCACGGTTCATTCCTATCCCAATCACCCCACCGGTCTTGTTCAGAAACCTCAACAGGCATACTTTAGCCCACACCGGGTCGCTTCCTTGTCCAGGTCATCGTCCGCTTACCGCTTCTCTCCCGCTACCGCTTCGACTGTGACGCTCAACGAGTGCTGCGCGCAAACCGGCGCGCAGCCACCCCGCACACGAAGAAAGATGGGCTTCTCAAAGACGCAGAGGATCTGTATCCTCCTGGGCATAGATGCTGCCTTTTTCCTGGTGGAATTGGTCGTCGGTCAGTGCGGTCCTACATCAACTTCCTGTCGCGTTTAGCCACTTACACCCCTCTAGGATATGCAGTGCATTCTCTGGCCCTTGTGGCCGACTCGTTTCATATGTTAAATGATGTCCTATCTCTCTGCGTTGGGCTATGGGCAGTCCGTGTCGCCAATACCGGAAGCTCAAAAATGTACACCTATGGCTGGCAACGAGCCGAAACATTGGGCGCTCTTGTCAATGGAGTTTTTCTGGTTGCCCTTTGCCTGTCCATCTTTCTGGAAGCAATCCAGCGATTCGTCGAACCACAGGTTGTTTCCAACCCTAGACTCGTGCTCATTGTCGGCTGTATGGGCCTTGCCTCAAACATCCTCGGACTCTTCCTTTTCCATGAGCACGGCCATGGCCACGGCGAGAAAGAGCATATGCACAAGGGGGATCTGGTGAGATCGGCCGAAGAAGGCCACGGCCATCTTTACGAGGACAACGGCGAAACCCAGAAAGTTGTCGACGAACATGGGAACATCGAAGATGTGCTGCCAGAATTCCAAGTGGGCAGCTTCCGAAGTCCGGCCCGGCGTGCATTCACAAAGTCTGATGAAGAGAACACGACTATCTCGGCTAGATCTTCGCACATCCCCACTCGCAAGTTGATCGTTAATGGCGAGATCCATCCCCGGCATCGCCGTCGCACATCAGGCTCGTTTGGTAGGGGCTTCGGCTCTGTCGACAACATTCACATCCATCCGGCGTCATTTCGTCAGGATATTATCCAAGCTGCGCGGTTGGAAGTGCAATCCGAATCTGAAGCGTCAGAGGAAGACGCCCTGTTGATGGAGCCCGAGTCACCAGAGCGACATCTTGACGGATCCCCAGACGGCCTCCAATCACCGTCCAAGAACGACAAGCGATTCACCGGTTATGGTAGCATAAACAAACGGAAGAGCGTTGACTACAATCACGCGGCACACTACCACAATCAAGATCAAGACGGCTCAAAAGCCGGCCAAGGACATGGTGGGCACGGCCATTCCCATGGAGATCTGAATATGCGCGGAGTCTTCCTCCATGTCATGGGCGATGCTCTCGGAAACATTGGTGTAATAGTGACTGCACTGATCATCTGGCTGGCTAAGTTCCCTGGACGCTATTACTTCGATCCGGCAATCTCCCTTGTCATCACGATGATTATCCTAGCTAGCGCCATCCCACTCTGCAGAGCAGCAGGGCGAATCCTCCTCCAGGCAGTTCCTGTAGGCATGTCAATCGATGAGATCACAGCGGACATTGAGTCGCTACCACGAGTCATTGAAGCCCACCATCTCCACGTTTGGCAGCTCAGTGACACCAAGCTCGTTGCGAGCTTGCACGTCAAGGTTGACTGCGAGATTGACGGCACCGGATCCGCCAGCTACATGCATCTAGCGCGGGAAATTCGAGGTTGCCTACACGGCTACGGCATCCACAGCTCAACCATCCAGCCCGAGTTTGTGAACGAGGCAGATCCGCATTCCGCCGAACCGGGGGTTGATCCTGACGAGGGTGCTGGGAGTGGGCACCTGACTCCTAAGAACAACGCGAATGCCAGCAAGACTGCGAGTCTTAGGAGTGAAGGACAACCGGCGTGTTTGCTCGATTGCGGTGATATGTGCGCCGGGAGCAAGATGTGTTGTCCTAATGATGGCAAGAACGGAAAGAAATGAAGAGTTTTCTCTATCATAATATTTGTATGGACTTCTTACTACTGCAAGAGTTGTTACTGGGCCTGTGCACCCTGCCGGAAGTGGGCTGCACTAATAGGGATGATAAAGGGGTTGATTTCTATTACGAGTCCCGGAACTCGAGAGCCTGTAAGTTTAAAAGCATTGCGGGTAGAATTGGCCTTGAACTTTCGTAACGCTACACCAAGTCGTTGCTTTCCTCCTTAACATGTCCCGTGTCAGTAACCCTGGTATCGTTTTAGACGGTAGTTTTGATGCCGTCCGCGAGATTGGCCAAAGAATCCAATCAAACAAGCTCCAACTAGTGTTACATGAATCTTTCTTGCGGACATTGTTACATGTCAGCCATGGTGGCCAAATGGCATTGGGTGACTCGTTAACCGTTCCAGAGAAGCCATCCATAAATCAACAAGACAGGCCATACGGTCCGCCACAAGGAGCGACCAAAGAATGCCATTCGAGATCGCGACGGGTGGGAGTTCCTCCTTCCCCGTTGTCGTGCTTTGGTTAATGATTTCGGCATGCCCCAGTCGTCACTGTCGAGCTCGCCTGGACCTGGACCAGGAGAATTATTTCGGGCGTGGTCGATAAAATAAGGCGGCTTCGAGGGGGACGAGGTCCGCGATGAGGCAGGGAGCTGGCCGTACCCGCCCAATTTGCGCGTGGAGAGTTGATGATGCTCCGCCGGGTCACCGTTCTGTATGCAAGAACTTTTTGAGGTGTTGGAGTTGTGGTGGTGGTGGCGATTTTCGGTGGTGGGTAGTAATGGCTCGGTTTTGTCGCGCAGTGTTGCTTCATCAGTTGCGACAGAGGGATTGTACCGGACAGCGCCTAAAAGGAGCATGAAAAGTGTTACGCCGAGGACCTGGCCATAGCGGATGAAGATGTTCAATTGGTCAGGGAGCAGACACAGATGATTTTGCACTGTGTCCCGCGGCGTGGAAAGCGATGGGTCACCAGACATTGCCATGTCCACATCGACCGGATTCCAGAGACTGACGAGCTGCACACCCGGCTTGCGGATGCCCATGGCCCAACTCATGCTTTTGACCGTGATTTCTCTGATGCGGCCGGTGAACTCGTTGTGCTCAATCTCGCAGTAGTCGTGATCGTCGCCGGAGTAAATCATTGTGATCTCTTCCGCCGTCAAATGCTTCACGATGTCCTGTGAGATCAGCGGCGTAAGGACGTTCTGATACTGATAGCCTGCCTGCAGGGGTATCACGGAGCCTCGCTCTCGCATGGGACCGCAGCTGGTCTCGGCAGATCGGTAAAAGGGGACGTGAGAGAGCACGATTGTTGGAAACTGAGATGAGCTGACTGGGTGGTGGTTTCTCTGTGTTGTCTCAGAGGGTCCGACGTCAGCGACTCGCTGTATTGAGGGAGACTGCAAGTGTGGGAGTGGGCTTTTCCAGTGAAATCTTGTCTCGCACGTATGCTGTACGGCTTTGGCTCTGATGGACTTGGCTTCCACGAGAAATTCCTCAACCGGTTTCCAGATTTTGCCAGAAGAAGTCGCGGCGGCACTCCCGTCCCCTGCTCCCGAACTCCCAGTTTTTGGATCGACCTGATCCATGGCACTCAGAGAGACGGTGTCCAAATGGATGAATGAGTGATTGCCGATGATATCGACTCGGTTGAGGGGCCCGAAATAAGCGTCAAACCGCTCCTTCACGGGCAACTGGATGCCTGCCGCAAACCCCAAATCATGGTTGCCCGGAAGAGAGGCGAGAAGGCGACGGCCTGTCGGTTCAGCCACAGTTGCATGAGGACCTCGGGCCCAAGATCGCAAGAACAGGTTGGAGAAGCGAATGTATTCTTTCATCCAGAAATTCGATCCATACTTCTTATAACGCTCTTCGGGAGATGTCGATTCGGCAGTGCCCCATTCCCTTCCACCGTCAAACAAGTCACCGAGAAACAAGGTGGCATCTGGTCGCAGATACTCTTGTAGGTATTGATAGGAGCGGCGGAGGTAGCGATCGGTGTACAGGATGGTCAGGGTCGATAGAGGCCACGGTCTATCCGGGTAAGTGTGCGGATCCACGAGTTGAGGGTCAGCGACAAGGAGGACATGATGAGGCTGAGCATGATCTGGCTGGAACAGAGTCAGCAATGCTCTCTTTGTCGGTGGGTGTTTGATCTGTTTGTTTACCCATGATTCCCACTGTCGCCAGAGGCACTGGGCGACACTTTGTCGAAAGATGTACCGCTCGCCCCACCAAAGAAGACATATCCAAAGAAGCACCAAGGCCGATGGAAGGCTGAGGAGACGCTGCCTTATCCTGGACAGAGACGGGGCATTGGCTTTCATTCTCTCCGGTTGAAAGTGGTACGCAAGCGGTCGCTGTCGCCAGCGTCCCTTTTGGAGATGGGAAAACTACATGAGGCAGGTAAGGCGTGAGCCGCGGGCAGCGCAGGGCAGTTTGGTCAGGGCAAGGCAGGTCAAGGGGCAGAAGGGGTCCAGTTAGAGGTACCATGCCATAGTGCCACTCACACATTTCTGCTCACCACACTCACCCACAGTTGTGCAGGGGTGAGCCTGTTGACTAATATCGTCAAGGCTTTCTTGTGTGGGTTACTGGCTGCTTCGATGCTACCTAATAGGACCAAAGTAACCCACAAGAGCTATAACTGGGCACTTCCAGTATGACCATCCTCGATTTGATTCAGTTTCTCATCTCGCCACCACCCTCACCATCATGTTCTACTTATAAATCAGCGGCCCGGTGCCCATATATCACAGGTGATAGCTGTGGCTCGAGCCATGTCCTCGTCTACAATCAACCCGTTTTCATCTCGTCATGGACGGCGTCTCCGTCGCCAGCAGCATTGCTGGTCTCGTCACCCTGGCGCTGCAGGTCAGCGCCACCATAGCAATCTATGTCAATTCCATCAAGGAACGCTCCAACACCGTCAGGGAGTTGCATGATGAACTTCTCCTGCTGGGCGAAGTTCTTGGTGGACTTCGAGAATTTTTGGAGAGCGAAAAAGTAAAAGGTCGGGCTCTCGATACCCAATCAGTCCTCTCCAGGGCCATCAGAGACTGCCGGCAAAGGATGGAACGCATTGGTGACAGACTGAAACCCTCGGATGGTGGGAAAGTTGCCCGCGCTATTGACCATCTGAGATGGCCTTTCGAACAGAGGGAAGTGATGCAGATGGTGGAGAATCTACGACGATATACTCAAACCTTTCAGTTCGCTTTCACAATCGAAGGGTTCAACCTGCTATCCAAGACCTCCGAAGACGCAACAAAAGGCTTGCAGGAAATGCTCCTTATTTCCAAGAAGATGAGCGAATTGTCGGCTCAGATGGGTCGGTCCACTGACGAGTCTTCCAAACTGGCCGCTCAACTCGAGGGAATCATCACCCTTGTACCGATCCTCGCAAGAACAGCCGCCGATGTCAATGAGATTTCCCAAGCCACAAGACTGGCTGAATTGAGGGAGCAAGAAAGGCGCACCACTGATATTTTGGACTGGTTGGCTCCTTTGTCATCCTTGCACAAGCATCGTGATTTACAAGTGCGACGCGCCGAAGGCACGGGCCGGTGGTTTCTTGAGCATCCTGACTTTCTTCATTGGGCGGGCGATAACAACTCCAAGAATGATCTCCTTTGTGTGGGAGGTCCCGGGGCCGGCAAATCTGTCCTATGCTCCCACGCCATCGATTATCTGCGTGCCGAATTCAAGGATCGCGACGTTGCCATAGCCTTCTACTACTACGACTACTCAGATCAACAGTCGCAGAATCCGTCCAACTTTGCGAGATCACTTTTGCGCCAACTCAGTTCCCACGGCGACATTGTCCCTTCTGCTGTTGCCGAGTTCTATCAACGCACAAGGAACGCCGTCAAAGACCAAACTTGGTTTCATGACTTGCTGACGATTACCCGTCGCGTTGTGGCAACATTTAGTCAGTGTTTCGTCATAGTTGACGCCCTCGACGAAGCCGACGTCCAAAGCCAACGTTCAGGGTTTTTTGAAGTCATTGATGCCATTAGAAGTTCTGGAGGAAGCACGGTAAAAGTGCTAGCCACTTTGAGGCCACATATTCTCGATCTCATGGCCAAGTTCCATGAACCTGCGACAATCGATATTCTAGCGAATCCTGGGGATATTCGACAATTCCTAGTTCAGGCGATCAGAGACCAGCCAGAGTCCGAGTACTTGATGGATGACAAGTTGAAGGAACGTGTTCTAAACACGCTGTGCGAGAACGCAAATGGTATGTTCTTGCTACCGGCTCTTCAGATAAAGACGATTCTCGACCAGATCACCAGGGCAGACGTCAAACGAACACTACTCCATCTCTCAACCGATTTGACTCATGCCTTCTCGTCAACTATCCAGAGAATTTCTACACTGCCCACTGCTAGACGCGATCTTGCGTGCAAAACATTGATGTGGCTATCTCACGTCCGGAGACCTCTGACTGTGCGGGAACTGCAGCATGCCATGGCATTGCGGCTCGAAGATTGTGATCTTGATAGGGACAACTTTCCCTCAGTAAGGACGATTGTAGACTGCTGTTGCGGCCTAGTCGAGGTGGACTATGAAAGCTTGATTATACGTTTGGTACATCACTCACTTGAGGAGTATCTGCGTGACCATGACCACGGTCTCTTCAACGATGCCAACCTCATCATCACCAGGACGTGTCTCAAATACATGATGCTTGGTTCAATGAGGGACCTACCCTACAAGAAACGAACAGATTTTGTGATGGCACTGGAAGATGTTGCATTTCTGCAATATGCAGCGCTCGAATGGGGCCATCATGCGTACGGTGTGCCTGCCGAGAAGATCAAAGACCTGGCCATTCCATTACTTTCCGACAGCGCCTGCTTGAATACCATCGCCCGTGTCCGAGATTTGCGGACCCCTGACGTCCGGGGGTGGAACGACAAAGCCTGGGCGTGGGCTTATTCCGGGGGAGCTGGGATCTCGTTGGCGGCGGCCTTTGGACTCACCGAGCTT